CAAGAAACACACTCTCCACATTTGACTTTAACACTGACAGAAGACCAAGAATAGTAATTTGGTTTTGCTGCAATTCTAATAGTTTTTGGTATTAAAACACTGATATATTTTAGAAAACTGTCAGCAGCAATGACGAGTAAATGCAATTAGCTGTAATGAGCTGAAGTATTTAAAAAAAAAAAATCACTGGACATTGTTGTCCTAACATTTAAATAGGCTTTATCTGACCACACACTGTTACTATATTATGAAATACTGATGACTGAACAGCAGTAGGTTTACTACTTGCACCTACTGTAGAAAAGTATTCTATAAACTGTTTTCCATGATGCCTTTGAATTGCTAAAGGTCATTTGTGAACTCTGGAGCCTACTCGTTGCAGTATGGCTCCAGAAACTTAACGATATGCTTTTGTGTTTGCACACTTTATTCAGGCTCTACCAGATCTGTTAAGTAAGCATTAAAACTGAACGTATTGAGCAACATGTCCAACAGCCCCAATCTCCTCCCTGCTTGAGTTCAGCTGCTGTGTTGAAACGTTATTTCTCTGTATGAGCACATCTGACTCAATCTCAGTTTTCTATCCACACACAGACTCACAAGTTCCCTACTGAGTTTGTGTGAATGTGTGTGCGGGGACTTTATCTGTATGCATGTGTGTTAGTGTGTGTGTGCTGTTACTGTAAACAGGAATCCAGCTTCCTCACTTCTCTCTTCTGTTCTCAGCCTGTCAGTCGGCTGTCTGTAGTTGTTACTGTTAAGTACAGCTCGGTCTCTGTCTCCATGACAACTGGCTGTCACAAAGACGTCACGCTCACCACGCACCTGAGAACAGGAAGAAGGAAATACCTGGCTCCGCCCACATCAAATTCTGCAAGGAATTCAGGTAGGTATACACACACACACACACACACACACAGAGTGAGCGAGAGAGAGAAAACAGTACTAAACCACAGAATACACTGAACGAGAAGGTCTGCTCTACAAGATTAAACAGGACTCATATTGTCATAAATGAAAGAGAATGAAGAGTGGGAGGGGAGGGAAGGAAATATGAAGGTGGAGAATAAGAAAAACAAGTTGAGTCAGTGCTGTAAAATTTGAGATATCCTCACTGTTTTACTTTCTGTTCAGGCTTACAGCAGGAGCCTGTTTAACCAAAGTGAGAAACTGTTTATTTTACACATTTAAAGCTTCAGATTTCCCTCAGGTCAGTCACATCTGTATCATGCTGACAGTCAAACACGAGATATCCGAGGGCACAAGTGAGTTGTTATTACTGAGGGATGTCATTACAGAGAGATCTACAGTGCATACGTCAAAGCAGTGAGCACTCTAACATAAAGACAGTGTGTCACCATGACCTCAGCGGTGTATATTTTTGTGAATGAGTACAGGTCGGCTTGTGTGGGATCATCTGTAATAAGCATGTGGTCGATGTGATCATGTGGGGTGAGGTTTTGGACTAGGTGTGCAGGAAACGTCTTTGGAGGAATGCTGCTCTGGCTGCTATAATTCAGGTCTGACTGTTTGCATGTGCACGCGCACACACACACACACACACACACACACACACACACATTAGCCAGGGCCACAGGAGGATAGCATTTCTCATCCAGAATGATAGGAGGGAATGAGCAGGAGAGGGAGGGAGGGAGGGAGGGAGGTGTGTTGGGGGTTTGGGTAGTCAGATTCTGGTTTGGTGAGTTTTAGGAGCAGTCAGTGTGTACACTATACACAGATCAACAGGGAGTAAAACGAACAGAGAGAAAGACAGAAGGAGGTTTTCTTGAAAAGACACGGGAGAGAAGGTTGAAACACCTGCCGGACGGTGTTTGGAGAGTTGAGGTGACGGACAGTGAAGCTCCAGCAGCAGCACCATCACTCTAACATCATGCAGCCCTGAAGTGAAGGACGCGTCAGCTGTGGTGTGCTGTAAGGAAAATAGGTGTTTGTTTTTTTCTGGATGAGGAGGGGGTTCTCTCACATGGTTCCTGGGACCATTAGCGTGTCGGTGTATGTGTTCAGAACTTTTCTTTTTTCCTCCCCCCCTCGGTTCTGTGGAATGTTGGGCTTATGTCAGTGAGAGTCAAGTACAAACTCACTAATTACCACTGTCCTTCCTCCCTCCCTCTTTCTCTCTCTAGCTCTTTCCTTCAAGTTCACCCCCCACCCCCCCCCCCCCCCTG